AAGCACAGAGAAAGAGTTTAATATACATCTTACCGGTAAAAAGAAGTGTTTCTTCTTGATATTAAAGAATTGTGGCATCATGAAGCCATGCAAAAACTCGGCATTTTTTCTTGATGTTTTTTATATAAATTTTCAGCAGAGTTTCAGTTTTTTTGTGCAAAAACCAGGGGGGTGAAATTGTCGTCTGAAACCGAGGATCGCGGTTGGTCAGTGGTAATTACCAGGAGGATTTGGGACCAGTGGCGTCATTCTGGCGTCAGCAGACGTGAAAATCCGCCATGTTTTTGGCTTCACTTGATGATGCCGAGCACTTCCTCCAGTTATATTATTTTCGTGGACGTCAAACAATAAGGGAAACGACTAGAGTTACGCTTCTGGTATAACTTCCTATTCTGTGCTTTCATCACATATTCACATGTTTTCAAAATGGCGGCAACTGTACAATTGTATAAATGTGGTTTTTGCACCAATATATTTGTCGATTTGGCTTCAGCACGTACACATAAGTGCACAGGTTAGTGCCTAAATTATATTCCAGCAATGACTGTGAGAATCAAATGAATTTGATGCTATTTTAAAGGATATTTAAATTGTCAGTAATACAGTCTAGACTCTACACACGTAGACAATGGTCTAGACACAGAAATATTAAAGAAATCTCTCCTTCAATTGTATATTTGTAGTCATAAACCTGCAGCATACTATATACAGCGAGTTGTTTGATAAAATAAATATATACCTTTATAATATGTACCTTATATAAACTTATACAGTTAAACTGTATGATAGTGATAAGACTTCTTACTGTAATATTACAGGGAAAGGCGTTCAACCTAAGCTACAAAATGCATCAGTTCCTCCAAGTCAAACTCAAACACAGAAAGGAGGTATTTTGTCATTTCACTTCAATAAAAAATGCAAGGTGCCCTACCAGTGATATATTGTAATTGATTTTACATCTTAACCTTACATGAATAAGCTGTGGTAACTAATTTTTCATATCTATCTTGCAGGAAAAAGCTCAGTGCCAAAGCCACAAGCAGGTGTATTTTTATTATCATGATGCCATTTTGTTTCAATGGATTATAGATCATTACAGAAAACACCCGACACTTGTACCCACAGAGGATATTAGAAGTTTGCCACCTCCCTGTTTTTCCCTTCAGCCATTCTAGTACAAGTTACTATTATCACATGTAGAAAGAGGCTGTATTTTTTCTGGAATGACCTAGCTAGACAATGTGTTAAACTGTCCTACCACTGATTTATTCTATTTTTTCAGGCGATCACTCTGTGACCATGCCACTAAATGCACCAGTTCCTCCAAGTCAAACACAGAAACAAGGTATTTTTTATTTTGTCATTTCACTTCAATAAAAAAGCAAAATGCTCTACCAGTGATACATTTTAATTAATGTTACATCTTAACCTTGCAGGAATAATATTAAGCTGTGGTAACCAATTTTTCATATCTATCTTGCAGGAAATAGCTCAGTAACAAAGCCACAAAATGTATCTTTCCCACCACTTGAAAGTCGAACACAACAAGCAGGTATATTTTTATTATCATGCCATTTCATTTCAATGGTTCATTACAGAGGACATTAGAAGTTTACCACCTCCGTGTCTCTTCTTTCAGCCATCCTAGTACAAGCCACTATTACCACAAGTAGGCTGTATTTTTTCTGGAATGACCCAGTTGGGCATTCATACATGGTGTTGAACTGTCCTACCACTGATTTATTCTAATTTTTACAGGCAAAAGCTCTGTGACTGTGCCATTAAATGCATCAGTTCCTCAAAGTCAGATGCAGCAAGCAGGTGATATATTATTTATCATGTCTTTTCATTGCATGAGCATTGTGCCTTTAGGCATGTGGCACTGTACTCGATTATCTAATCACACCCTCTTCATGGCTATTTAAAGGGGAGCGGGAAACTTATAGTTTAGCACCTGAATGATTTTTAGAATTAAGTTCTTTGTGGGTTTGCATGGGGATAAAACATATAATACTATTGTTTGTGGAAACACCACGTAAATTTATTACTGCAAAGATTTCAATCCGTAAGCCTGGATCTTCATCATGCAGTGCTAATAATATGTGGCTAGTTCAATTCACATGCCCTTTTCCAATACCAAAGTGTTGTGATTTGTTAGCTAGCGTCATTTTTTAATGAAATGGTACATCAACCCCCATTTCAAATTTTAGTCAAGCGATTCTAATTGAACTAGTCACATATTATTAGCAATGATGAAGATCCGGGCTTATGGATCGAAAGCTTTACAGTAATAAATTTATGTGGTGCTTCCACAAACAATAGTACGGTTTTATATGATTTTTAGATTAGTTTTACAATCTATTCATTTCAGCTGCCCAAATCAATTCATCGAAACTTAAACATTAGGTACATGCAATGCAATGTGGGATATCGATCTAACAAAAAAAGTCTATAGGCCTGGCCTATAGGCCAACCTATAGGTTTCTATAGGAAACCTATAGGTTTTTATAGGCAATTGGAACGTTTTCTATAGGTGACCTATAGGGATGCCTATACTGCGGATTCAGGTTGAGTGTTTAATGACGTCACGAGCGTGTGATTATTGCAACACTCAAACGCATGCGTTGTCAAGTGGAAAATATCTTGTTGCTATGCGGAAGTATTGTAAAGGCGTGGTTGTTTTCGATAAGTTGATCGCGTTTATAGTCTTTATACTCGGCTTAATATTGTATTGTTTTGATGGATAATTTTATTGAAATTCAGTTTGATTATCAGTATTATTCAAAGAGCAGGATCACACCGTTATTTATTGGTAACGATGAATTACTGGCTTTATCTTATGATGGCTTTTACTCGCGTATGTTAAGCGAAGTTCCACACATTGCCAAGGTAGCACCAACGCCCTCTGATTCATTGCGACTGATTTTGATTGAAGAAAATCGACCCGAAATAGATCTCTCACCAAAGTATTTCAAGTCGCAGATGATGAGACTTTTGAACAAAGGATTAAAAACAATTGTTATTCGTGTTGTTGCAAATGAATCACCGCTTGTTCACTTTGGTACACAGGCGCCAGCTAAAGTTACAAATATTTCAGATAATCCTCGAAGCAAACGTCGTTTGGAATTAGTTCAAAATAGCGGAAAGGGAAACATGCAAGTTCAGCTAACTGATAATAGCAAGACCATAATAAGTCCGAGTACAGACTCAGTGATTTTACCGCTGGAAAGACACGCAAAGAAACACGAAGAAAGCATTCGAAACATTTCCGAAAAATTGCAGAACAAGACTCGAGAGCTTGAATGTTTTGACAATAAATTAAGTGATGCCTGTCACCAGAACGGCGGCCACTTGTCTGCGTGTGGCAATTGTCACTTAAAAATTGGTCACACCAGAAAATCATGCACTTTTAGCCCGTGTAGATCAGCATTTTCATGTGGAATCCTCGCAAAACACAATGATCAAAGATCGACAAGGGCAAACCTCACGAAAGAGGTGTCGAAGCTCGAAACCGAAATAACAAAAGCGAGATCTGATATGCATAGTGCTAGAACCGCATTAGAAAACGTGAACAATTCTTCTAAGAAAAGAATAGAGGATATCCTTGTAAATGAAGAACCGCATAGATACATCACTAGCGGACGCAGAAACTGGTTAGTTTTGAACAAAGATGTCATGCTTTTACAGAGTAAATTGAAGGGAAGCCTGCCAACCCGAAATAACGTTATGAACCTTCTAAATTCGTTGGTAAGAGAAACGTCGGTGTCAACTTCAACGAAAACTACTAAAACTAGCACACATTCGGTAGTCATTCACGGCACTGACCACCGGATGGCTCCCCAAAAGCGAGTCCTTGAAGAAGAGTATGGAATTAACTTCCCAACAAAAAAGTTATGTAGTAAATCGAATAATCAATTGTGTTTAGACGGTCAAGACAAAAGCGACTTTCATATGGCTCTTAAACTACAACAACAAGAGATTGAAAATGTATCATCTGATAGTGTAATCGATGAAGAAGACAATGACGACCTTCAACTTGAAGCCGATGCGGCGGCCGCTTTGTTACATTTAAAAGCAAGAAAATGAACTATTCTCAAACAAGTAACACTTTGAAAATACTTTAGACTATTATTAATACTTCTATCAGCATATGTGCTGTATTGTTGTGTTTTATAAAGGGAAGATTGCATGTTTGTATACAAAAACCTCAACATGATACTGTTATTGCATACCATTTCAAATATGACAAAAGCTGTTTAATTTAATTATAGCTTTGGTCTTGAGCTTTAGTTTTTACGAAAATGTTTGTGGTGCAATATCAATATTAATTGAGTTATTGTCACGCAACACAAAAGATCTCCTCTAAATGTTTAATATACAGGGTGTCTCAAAAAAACCCAAAATCATTGAAATTGACGTATTGTTCGATATTCAATGCCCTAGCACTAAGTTAATCCCACGAGTGCATAAAAGATTGACATAACTGCTATAATGAATGGTAATACTCAGCGTAAACTTGTTATGTCAGGCATAAACTACTAAACCCACGAATGCATATTACGCATATTACAATTTACGAAGCATTTTTAAATTCCCATGAGCAAACAAACGTTCACTTTACAAAGATATTTTAATTTTTTAAAACAAATTAATCACCCTGTCAAAATCCTTTGTGTTACGGCATTGAAATTCGAACAATACGTTATTTCAATGATTTTGGTTTTTTTTGAGACACCCTGTAGTACTTACAGTATTGGGCCTGTTTTATACGTCGATTTCAGTCGCGTCGAATGCAATTCAAACAATAGATGCACGAAGTTTAATGAGGTTTATCATGTCATCTATTCAATATTGTCTTTATACAGTAATTGCATTCGACTCTACCAGAATTCGACGTATACTGCAGGCATTAGAAATGTTCATATTTCATGTTTTGTTTTAATATAGCCTATAGTGCTTAACATTAAACGTTTATATTTTATGTCCAGCTTTTCATCAGCAATCGCACATACTGTGACTGTGTTACTGATAGGGGGAACAAAATGTTAATCAGTAAAATATTTTTAGATTCAGAGGTTTATATAACCAGTTACTTCAAAAAATCCCCGCATGTCACCTGGAGTAATGAAATCCAGTGATGCATACATGCACTGAACTAACTGAGCTACGGTGGTGATATCGCCAAATTTGTATTTCATAACAGTGCGAATCTTTCCGAATACATACTCGGCCGGATTAAAGTCAGGTGAATAGGCTGGCATGTATACGAGTTCAATATCGAGATCGTTCAAGAATTCTTGCAAAACGAGACCACCTTGGTTATGATGTGTTGCGCAATTGTCCATTACTATCACAGACCCAGGATCTAAACAGGGTCGTCCACTTCGTATGTTTATGGAATTATACGCCTCCTCGAAAAAAGCAAGGAAATCTATTGTATCTGCACCGCCGTCAACTGTGTTTACATAGTCAACCCCAGTTAAAGAACACATCAAATTAACTGTAGTATTAGGAGATTCTGCGTATCTCTGGTATTCAATTGCGCGTTCTCCAACTGGAGCGTGGCCGTAACTGCGTGTTCCATGTCGTGGAAGTTTTAGTCCGCATTCATCGAAAAATTTTAACGTATAGGGATCTTTACTGTTTAGGTAGTTTACGAATAGTTGAGTATAAGCCATGTTCTGTAGCGTAAATCTCTCTTGGGCAATAGGTTGTAATTTCTTGTAGCTGTATTCCTTGCCACTAGGAAGACGATGTCGAACTGCTTCGGATAAGGCTGTTGTCGACGTTGTGCCATATGGCAGGTCCCCAAACTCGTTCAGTTGCTCAATAATTTCATTGTATGAAATAGAAGGCCGTTGTTTTTTCAAAAACTCGACGTACTGAAGATCGCCTTGAGACAAATGACTAGGATTTCCACCTCTGTTCTTTTTTGGGCTGGTTGTCCCATCCTGGCAAAAACGTTTCCAAATATTTGATACAACTGCCGAAGATACCCCCAGAGAGTGCGCTATATCAGTGTACTTCCCTGGAAAAATACCTGTGTGAGTATCACCACCGTGAAGTATAATTTTGTTAATAATCAATAATCTGAGATCTTGCGATAGAGGTTTTCCTTGTGCAAACAATCGACCGTGCTCGTTTACGCGCCACATTTTTATAATAAAAAACCCGTTAAAACTCGGTATTAACAATTAATATTTGATTAAAAAATTATCAGTAACTGGCTGTTTACCTTTTCAAAAAGCGTGTGTATAATTTTATAAATTATATTGCAAATAATGGGCTTTTGAATGATATACGGCTACAAATAATGCTGCATTTGTGCGATTACAAATTTATTTATTTATACAGCTATTAGCCCTAGCAACAAGACGTTTTCCACTTGACAACGCGTGCGTTCGAGTGTTGCAATAATCATGTGCTCGTGACATCATTAAACACTCAACCTGAATCCGCAGTATTTGTTGCCTGAATAAGACAGGAGCGTAGAAAACTTTCACTTTGGAACATAAGTTTTTTTTATTAATTTCCATTATATATTGGCCTTACCGCCGACTCGAGTGATGGCCCGAAATTTAGTCTGATTTCAATAGCGTTTTATCAAAAGTGCGGCAGTTTATTGAACCATTTGCTCAATTTTGTGATTATACATACGTTTGTTATAATAATAAAACAAAGTTATCATTGGCAAACTGAATTCCTCGAACGCAGCAGACACCTGAATTCCACCGTAATTATCCTAAATCGTCTCAATTACGTCAGCCATTTCGACCCATATTTCCCGTGCTTTTACTAGTCTATCCCATAAATATTTTTACTAAAGAAATAAGTCAGAAGAGGGAGCATATTTGTTCTTTTCGCTGACCCAAAACTCTAAAGGTCATCTTTGCTTGCTTTGATATCAAAAAGGTCAAGGGCGATGACAATAAATGCAATGCTTGCAAGTCACCGGAAATTGTACTCATTTTATATGGCGCGTACAATCATTCTCACTATAACTAGTTCTATTCTCACAAGCTTTCACAAACCTAACTGCTGTGCAAAGGAATATTAAAAATTACATAAATGGTTTAATACAACTATTTTCTTAATACGTAGTGTTCATGTATGTAGTCTTGACATTTGTGTGTGTATAAAATCACGATAAGGACCAAAGGTTTGTCTTGCAATGATCTTGCATTGACTTTAGCGTTCTAAAACATACACAAAAGTTATAGTCTTAGCTATAATAGTCTTGGTACGTTTTCGAAACTAAGTCTTGCCCTTGGTAACAATCCGCTTAATTATAATTTTTGAATTTGCAATTTGCACACAATAATTATTTATAGCACTCATAACATGTAAATATTAATTCTTGAGGTGAATGTGCACGAAAACAAATCGCGGCTTGTGGCAAAACTGTTGACTTTAAAACTACATTTGGAGCTCCAATTTTATTTGCATATAATCATATACCAGGCACAAAAATAAAGGAAGTAAAATTGCTCCTGTTAACGAAACGACAAACGTTTCTCCGTTGTGACTTTCGATTACACACTTGTTGCGGGGTTTTCCCCGGCGAGAGGTTTTGAAGAATGACGATATTTTTTTACAAATTTAAAACGAAATTTGCTGGCATACGTAAAGTTTAGAAAGTAATGTGTAAAACTATTCCTTACAGCATGTTAGGGAATTCCAAAGATCAAACAACAAAATCATTCGAAATTTCAATCGTATGCAGTCATGGCTTTCTATGACCTGGGGAAAACCATTTGATTGTCTATTGCAGTTTGGGAATTACGTAATGTTAGTATAAATATTTATGATTATGAATAATTGTGTATACTCAGTATTATTATGAATAATTGTGTATACTCATCAGGCTTTCTTAGAACTTATTATTTCTTTGAAAATATATTTAAGAATGTACAGGCACTGTTTGCACCAAAGTTCCTGGAAAAACATTTTTATCATGCAACAATTGACATGTACAAGTACAAGTGGATTCAAAATATTTGATGTTAGCAGTTATGACTCTTATGGCTTAGTAAATAATGAAAAAATGTGTATAAATGTGATTTGACATTTAAATTTCCAGTTGGACTGTCTTCTTTCAGGACTGTTCCAATTTATTTTCTACATTTACAGCTCTTCGCAAATTCTTCTAGAGGCTCAAGAAAGGATTTCTTTCTAGCTTGTGATCCTTGGATGTTGAGTCCTAACTCACTGGAGACAGTTTTCAGCTGTACAATTTTCAGATTTTGTAATTTACCAGCAAGTGAAAGGTCGCAAATGTTTATTTCGCCAACCTGGATGGGATGTTCCTGTCTCATTTCGCTGTAAATAGCGTCCCGCAAATCTTGCAGTGTTGCCTCTGTTTCCCAAGCCTCCATATCTTCTTCCGTCAACTCTTACTCTGTTTCCTCTTCCACTCCTACAACACCGATTTGTTGCCGACGCAGGGTTGCACTGTACCTTGAGAAAAAGCTCTTGATCTGTTGAGCCGTTTTCCATTCGTCAGGCTGGAAGAATAGCTTACCATTTTCATCTTTCTTGAACTTCATCTCCCTGGAGACTGTTTGAGGATCAGCTTTATTACCACTGGTTTCTCCGGCTTGAAACTTCTCAATCTAGTATCCTTTAACTCTTTCTCCAAATCGCGGCCTCTTTTTGGTTGTTTTCAGGGCCCACCCCATGCTGCGAACACCATCAGACACTCTGGATTCCCCAGCCTCAACTTGCGTGAAAACACTAGGTATTGGTTTGGCAACTGTGCTAATCCCAGTTACTTTTTCGGCCCATTTTCTTCGGATTTCATCTTACAGAGAAACAGACTCTAATTCTCGGACATGCTTGCGCCTCTCGTTCTGACCTAAATGTTAAGATGCAAGTGGACTCGCTACAGGAAAAGATTTCTGCCTGTGCAGTTTTAGACGCTTTGCTAATGGCGCCATGTTCTTTTTGACGAGGTCCAAATGGTTTAACAACTTTCAAACTTGCAACATTCTGCGGTTGAAATTGATGATCTTTGTAGGTTAGTAATTTGCCTTTTCCAATTTCGTAGGCTCTCCATACTCGAATGCCACTAGTTTTGTACTGAAAATTATAGAGTAGACTTATGTCTGGTATTTTATTGCCTTCATAGAGATCTTGTGATGAGTCGACTTCAACTACTGCAGCTCTACATCCTTTCAATCGTCCATGAGATTCTAACGCCACTTTCATGTCCTCTGCTGAGACAACACGTGATTTTCATTGACAAATCTTCGGATATGAGCCTTCATCAGAGCGATTTTTCGGTCGCAGATGTCCTTACCTGATTGGGGTTCGGAGAAGTCGTAGCGAGCAACAGTTATACCAGTTGTTTTGCCAATCTCTGGGAGGCACAGCAGCAATGGGCCATTGTGGTAACATCCTGCATTATCTGATCGTATATACGCTATATTGATGAGTGGATACTCTGCTTTGATTGAGTGGAAAAGGTGTTCAAAGATGGATGCAATTGTATAGTTGTTTTGAGTACAGGAATTGAAAATATGCACGAAACACTCAACTTCGTAGTTACCAGCATTCATAGTAACTACTGCACTGGCATGCCAACTAAGTCTGCGTTTTCCAAAGAATTCGCTCATATTCTCTCGATATTTTAAGGGCAGGAATTTCATTGCCCAATCACATATAATTAAGCAAGTTTCTTAGTACAGTTTATTCAGAGTCTCTTGCTTTGCTTCGTCCTGTGTAATAGTGCGCAACAGATGTGCTTTCCAGGCATAGATTGAGGTCTCACACTGCTTCAAATCGAATTCTACTCTGCTCCTTTGCTCGTCATCCATTTCTGTGAGGTCAAGTTCGTATTTTATCTCCTGTAAGACAAGTTCGAGGGATTCACATCTTTCACAATTGATGTTATGATTCTGATTACAGGTACTTTTGTAGTTCTCTGCTTTCGTATCGCTGAGAGAATGCGTGGTACAATGGTCTGCGCAGTTTTCTTCTTTGCCAATGTGTGCCTTGAAGTCTGTTTTAAAATATCTCTTCACTTCCTTGATCTTGTGCTGAATATGTTTTCCCCACGTTTCATCTGCTGCATTTTCTACCAAGTTTTCAACGATTTTGACTAAACTGTCAATGCTTTGTGTTCCTTCTGCGGTTATGTTATCGAGGCCCTGTAATGATTTTTGCATAGAGGCAGAACAAACGTCAAGCATTCTATACAAAGATCGTTCAGATGCCGATTCAAATTCTTGCTGTTTGCAGTAGGCAGCGTATTGTTCAATGATTCGAGAAGGAATCAATGTTCTTACAGCAGCTGGAATAACAATGCGTTCACCAGAGTCCAGTCGCAATGTCTTGGTTCCAAAGGCCACGTCTTGCAACAGTTCTGGACGAGAAATAAAATCTAAAAAGTGATCGACTTTCGCTGAGTTAATCCTTGAGCGAAAAAGTGGTTTATCCTGAACAGGCTGTCCCTTCCCCGATTTAATTGCGTGATCACGTGCTTGGTCAATTCGCCACTTTGATAATGAAGGTATCATCCTTTGCAACTCGGATTTGCTAAAATCGCTTGCAAATAGTGATAAGATTTGCCTCTTTGTTTGCCATGACTGTGCCTGGTTATGAGCCTCTATCAACACTTCAATCGGGTCGGACTTAGCATCAAAACACCTACGGTGTGGTACGTCGTCACAGCAGTCCACTTCATTATTATGTAGAGGTTCTTTTCGTAGCGACTCCCAGAGCTCTCTTTCTTGTCCTGGGCTTACCACAGACAAAGTTGCAGTGATCATCTCTCTTGCTTTACGTAAATAATAGTTTTGTTGAGTTGCCGAGATATCATCCCATTCGGTGTTTAGCGTGGACTGAAGAGGGCTGGTACGGCCGCCTGTTATGCTATCAAACGCATCGTTTAACACTTGCCTTTTACACTGCTGCTCTTCTTTTTCGTCCAACCAGACACTAACCTCTTCAACTGGTTCAGAGCTTGTACTTAGGGAAGAGTGACACGACGATATCTCCATCTCATCGCTTTGTTGCGTTTCAATTTTGTGTTCAGTGCGTTGACTTACTGACAGTGTATCTTGTGCCATTGTCATTGGTTCGATGATAATGGTCTGTTAAAAAAAGACACAATGAAATTTGTAATAGAAAATGTTATTAATTCGGAATCAAGATAGAAAAAAACATAAAAGTCAAAATGGTTTCACACTACCAGGGATGCTTTCTGCAGGGTTCAGTGTACTTCGTCTTCGATCTTTGTAATGAGCAGTTCTACAATTGATACACATAGCTAACAAGAAAATATGATAGTAAATCTAGCCAGTGCTGTGAGTAACTTCGTTACAAGTAACTAGTTACATGTATCGTTTCATAACTGTAACGGTAACTAGTTACTTTTTTGGGAAGGTAACTTGTAACTTGTAACTATTTACAAAAATTGATAACTGAAAAAGTAACGGTAACTAGTTACATTCTGGCCTAGAGAGAGCCGTTACTTTTGGCGATATCCAACTTACTGAAAAGCTGTTTTGTTGCGCAGAGTTTTAAGTTTTCAGACTACAATGCTGCTCAATGTGTGAAAATTCTTTTTCTGGTTAAATTAAACAATTGTTTTGTTTATTGACATAACTCAATCCATGAATTGTAGTCTGACTCATGCTATTGCTTAACATTATAATATATGCTTGGCATAATTATCGCAGCTATTTTGTACTATAAATATACCAAAGTAACTTTGTAACTGTAACTAGTTGCTTTTATTTCATTGCAACAATTATGTAACTTTTTACAGCACTGAATCTAGCATGTTGGTGCTGGATCAAAAAGAAATTTTTGACGATAGAAACTTATACATTAATTGGTGCTTTAGGTTGCCCTAATGAGTATTGAGTATTGATGTACATTTTTAAGAAAATATCAATGAGTCATGCAGCGGCGTTACTGCAGTTGATTTAACTCGAATAGGGAAAATTATGTAGTGGCTGTAGTAACTGCAGTTATTCACTTTTTCGTTGCAATTTCTAATTTCCAAAATAGTATTTCATATGCAAGGCAGTTGTTACTTTCTTCTGAGAGATATCTATGTACAAGTTTCTGGGTTCCTTTTCAAGATCGCCACCATAGTATATAAGCACATGCGCTAATATTTTGTTGGAAAATACATCCTACGCAAGTGCCAAAATTTATTATTAATAATACAATAAAACTCAGGATGTTCACTAAAATTTTGTTTCATTATTTAACTAGCCGTAAAAAAACATCGTCATTCTTCATGACCTCGCGCCGGGGAAAACCCTGCAACAAGTGTGTAATCGAAAGTC